GCAGCACACAAATTCATTCATCAAGTTGTAGACGTTCATCGAATGTAATTGATTTTTATCAGTTTAAAAATAGAAAATGGCAGATAATAAATTTTAAAGTACAGTTGACATAATAAGAAAGATAATATCTTAAAAAAGAAATTATTTAATCAAAAAAAGAAATTAAAATTTTAAAAACATCGTTTTAAATTCCAGAACAGATAAATTTAAATTGAATATACTATAAGAGAAAGAAGGTTTTTTTATTTATTTATTTGTAATTTTTATTACAAAATTTATCTGTTTTGTTCAATTTTCTCGCTTAATTTATTATGTATTATTCTCATATTACTTTCATTATGAAACAACTAGACAAAAATCAATATAATTCTAATTATATTCTTATTAAGTTAATATAAATTTTATTTAATTTTCACCAATAATTTTAAGTTTAATTCTTAGAAAAATTGTGTTTTATAAGCAGAAAAAGTAGCGAAAATTTGTAAAATATAATCAAATCAAACAGTTTGTTTATCTTAATAGAGATTAAACTCACTTTACAGGAGAATACATTGCCTTTAATTCTCTAAATTTGAAGATAACACAAATTGAAAATGTTTACTTTTTTACCATTAAACTAAATGAACATAGCGTGTTAACAACGATTCCATTAATTATTTGACATTAAAATAGCCAGAAAAGGATTTATATAATCTCAAAATTACGATAGAATATCTTGAAATAACGTAGAATATAAATCTTCTATAGAGTTACAATCACTCAAAATTGCAGTGTCACACTTCCTCCCGAGTTCTTCTAACTCTTTACATTCACAACCTAAATGAAAAATAGAAAATCGACCTTGACATTTTTTACACGTGCAATCTTTTATCTTCAAAAATAAAAAAAAATTATTGAATCTTTCATTTTAAATGGGATTTGGTAAAAGATAAAACTATACAAAGGCGAAGAAATAGAGAAATTATTTATATACTAACTACGAAGAAAGTTTGTAAAATATAATTATTACATAATTAAAAAATAAATTAAAATAAATACATAAATTTTACAACAATAATTTAAAAAATGTACACTAAATTCGAAATTTAACAAAGATTAAAGAAAGAAAAATCTCGTTTACTTTGAGAAAAATCTTTTAATCTTTTCCATTTATGATTTAAACAATATTTTATTTTTACGATCCGTCTTGTTATATTTAACATTTAAATAAAAATTAAACATTTTTACTTTTTTAATTTCATAATTTCGATGTATAAAATTTCTCAAACAATGCTGTTCTTTGTACATTTTGATGCTGGGGAAAAAGAAAAAGTCTATCCTAGTAAATCTCATTGCATAAGTTCGATTTCATTGAAAAAGCGTTATTCTTTTGTTTAATAATAATAATAAAAAAAATTAATTATGATACGAAATTTATTTTTGAACGCTGTAATTGGTTTCTCATCAAATTATTTTTATTCTCAACAGTTTTATCTGATTTTTATTTTTCGTTTTCTTAACTTTAACAACCGAGTATTCACCATTATTAAATTTTTTCGTTAACAACTTTTTTATTTTTTATTTTTTATTAGTGAACAATTATAATTAAGTCTTGAAAATTAATTGAGGATGCATTTTAACTAGTATCTATTTTAATAACTAATTAAAATAAACATCAATATTTAAAAAAAAAATTCGAAACTTTATATTTTTAAATTGTAACATATTTTAAATTAATATTCGAACAGATTTAATTTATTTTTATATTAATTTTTTTAAAAGAATTTTATAAGTAATTAAATAAGAAAATAAAATCGTCTTTAAGTTAAAAATAAAGATAAAAATTCGAAAACAATTTATTAGACGTCATTATATTTTGTAATATTTATTTTTATCTAAATTAAAATATTTTGAAGTAAATATAAAAGTTTTTTTTTTATATTATTTTTCTAGTAGAAGATATCCCATTTACTATTACATATTCGGAAATTTAACAGAAATATTTCTTATAATAGAAAAGTTCTAGAAACTAGAAAATCATTTTTTTCTACATTCTTTAAATCCATATTATAAACCATTATAATAGTTGCTGTATCATGTTTTTAGAAAATCCATTTTGAAATTGGTAAGAGGGATTTTATGTAGCTCGTATAAACATACACAGTATATATTGTATGTCTGTAATCTTTACTTTATTTGTTTGCAAGATATTTTATTATAATAAAATGATATAGGATGTAGTATGTTGAGTATAAGGATTTTTACAGATTAAATGTATATTTACAAAGCTTTATTCGACTGATTTATGGCTATACAAATGAATGTAAATTATTTAAAGCTTTAAAATGCAATTATATAGATAAATATTTCCTATAAATCAAGATGTATACATTTAATGATAGAATGTAATAAAAAGATGAATAATGTAAAATGTATCGTTTTCTAAGTAATCCTTTGTATTCTAATTATTCAAATAATTTTTCCTGTTTTAATATTTATTAAAATGTATTTAATATTTAAAGATTCTTGGTATCGGCGGCTGCCGTAGTCGAACCTTCACCTAATCTTGCCTGTCTCACGTAGAGATTTGTATTGAGGCCACTGAAGGTATCGTTTTTTCGTGTTGAAATATAGGAAAAAAGAGAACTAATGTGACTACGTGGCCCTTTTTCTTAAGATACAGTATATTTAACGAACAAAACGACAAGGCGGAGGTGACAAGTGATGGAAGAAAAGCTACAGGTTATCACTTTTCGGCGACAGAACCGCTTGATCTGTTTAGTTATTTATGAGAGAGATTTTCTCTTCGAATCCAAAGTTTGATTTTCTTTTTAGGAATCACGTTCAGGATTTGTGAAGTGTATTTGTCATTGAGGGATTCGACTTACAGACGACATTGGAACATATATTTCGTGAAATACAATATGTTGCTATAAACGTATGGCTAAGCTATACATCAGCGATAATCTTATACGAAAAAATTCCTCTGCATTTAATTATCAAGATACTGCCTTTTACTACCGGGGATATTTAAAATGAAGCCAATATTTAACGTAATTTTAATTATAGATTCTATTTTTTCTTTGCGCACACCTAGTGTCTTTGTACGTAGTTCATCATCCGTGAACGTGTGGTTAAACGATAAATATAAAATTTAAATATACATCAGCCACAGAAAGAAAAATTTAACGAAGAAAAAATTCGTAGCAAATTAATTACTAATAATTATTTTGACTTAACTTGTATATTTTCTGCAAAAAAAAAATTGAAGAAGATAATCCATTATACGCATAAATGAAGTTTCAATAGCACTTTTAATGAGATCTGATAACAACTCCTATTTATGCCTGGAATCGTACACTAACTAGCGATCTGTCTCTTTCTCTTCCACCTATATTTGCCTAAGAAGTGTCATTGTTTGCCCAGGGCCAAGCCTTTATACCTGCTGACTCTGCTGAAAGTTGGAGGAAGAAGCCGAGTCAACACTACCGAATGACGAAGAGCAGAAGCACCGGGAAATCTTTTACTTCTTGTCGTGCAAGAAAGTGAAAGTAGAGGTTATGCGACAAACGAAGACAAAAAATCAAGATTTAGAAGGATACGTCAATCTATTCTCTGTCTAATTCTTTTCCTTTGTAGCTTTTCTTCTCTCCATTTACTTCTTTTATTTTTGCTGTTTATTGCGGAATGTAGAGTCATTTATCAACAGACCATTTGCTATAATTATTTATTATAACGCATTAATTTTACGTTAAAACTTTAATAAATTAACATTATTTAAGGTTATTATACGGTTTAAGAATTTTATGTGTAATTACTATATTTCGAAATTAATTAATTATAATTAAAATTTTTTTTTTCAATTTTAAAAGAATGTCATGTTTTATACAACAACTAGCTTTAGGACTTGTCTAATTCAGCAATTTTTTAAAATTAATTATTTATTTGAAAACATGAAGTTTAATATAGAAAAAGATAGAATAAACCTTTGTCTTTTACTATAAATTCTTTAAAATTAGAAGTGATAAAAGTTGCGAGAAATTTTCCAACTTGTGTAGAAATCCTCCTGTTATCGTACACTTTACGAAATTAGTCGAACCTCTTTAATTTTCCAGACGTCTTATGAAAAACCAAGAGACCTTAAATTACAAAACCTGACACGAAAATCCTTCTTCCGGTGATTAGAAATTTCGATAGGAGAGGTCCCGTGTCCACCATTTTCTTTTTTATTTTCAGCTGATTTAGCGGGATGTTCAGATTTCCGTCCATCAGAACTGCATTGATATATGTTAATGAAGCAAAAAATAAACAAAGAAAATAATCTTTGATTATTATCAAAATTATTCTATTAAAAAATATATTCTTAAGTTGTTAAGTTACAGAAAAAGAAAAGAGTGCCAATTTTTAAAATCATAATTCTTCTTTCGTACCGCCAGTAACAGATAAAAAAAAAACAAAGAAAGAATAATGTTTTATGTCAGTTTACAAATTACATTATTATTTTTTCAGTACAACTGCAATTCAAAATAAAAAAAAAATATTAGAAAATACATTGGCAAATGGTCTATGAATATAATTGTACCATATTAAATCGTTAAATATTTCATTACTTTTGCAGGGAGAAAAAAAAAGAGACTCATTATTATGCATACGCTTCTCATTCCTTTATTAATAAGTACTGTTTTAGTTATAAGCCAGACTAATTATTTTAATCAGATTTATTCATTAAAGGAAGATGAGATTGAACAGAGAAAGAGGAAGAAAATTCCATTAACGAACAAATTTAAAGACAACAGTCATTGTTATCTTTAAATCTGCCGGTGCAATGAGACTAGAAAGTATTCTAATGTAAATAACTATAAATTTGTCCGAGTGCATTGAGAAAATTTGTAGTTTAGCAAAAATATTAGAACATGCGCTGTCACTAGTAAAATTTCAGATACGAGAGGGCGCTCGGACGCTGCATCTAGAAAAGAGGACGTGTCTGCCAGTTGTTCTGCTTTGGTGAGAACCATGCGGTGACAACGTCTCTTGTCCCGGTTCCTAAGTTCGGACGCTTGCTTAAAGTAAACCGAAAATAATAATAATAAGAATAATAATTTAGTAAAGTAAAAATTATATATATATATATATAATTAAACTCGGATGAGTTTTGGATTTGTTCATTAATTTTCTCGGTTGGAGAAGGCGATGACTTCGAAGTGAGATATCAAAAATCAATTGGACGTAAACATTCCAACCCCTCGGAAATTAGTAAGAAGGATCATAATAACGTTTTTACATGAAGCTCTGTAGATTTTGTGTGAATTTCATTCGCTTGGTTTGGCACACCGTTTTATTCTCCGAAGGTAAGTTTTCGCTTCTTTTAATTATCATTTATTGTAAGTTTTATGTAAGAATATCAAATGAAATGTATTGTTTTGGAATTCTATAGTATATTACTCTTATCCTTTTAGGAAACAATTACTTTTTCCATTACGTTTCTCCTTAAGGATACCATATTTCTTCAGTTTCGAAAAGTTTTTTTTTTTTTTGTTTTGTTTTGTAACAGTTTGGGGATTAACACATGAACAACTCCATTTTCGAAAATCAATTCGTATCTGGCCAGTATATATATATATATAGAGAAAATATATATATATATATATATATAGGGTGTGTGTGTGTGCTTTCTTTTTTTTCCTGATGATATGGTATTTCTAGAAGTACACTCGGAGGCACGCAACAGACTCGAAAATGAAAGGCATGCCCGAGGACAATAGTTTCAGAGATAGAAGTTTCTCCAATTCTGATATTTCATGTATTTTCTTTCTTATATTCAATTATCTGCCTGCACCGCCTCCGTTGATACATTTTGTATATACGTGAGGAGTTATAAGCAGTATATATCTTATAGAAATTGTATGAGAAAGCCAGAAAAAGTGCTTTGTACAAATTCATAAGCGTTAAGAACGAATAATGTGTTTGTGATAAGTATAATACATAATCAAGAGAAGGCTTTTTGATATCGTTTCTTTAATACTTTTATTTTCCAGATATAATCTCTTTTACATAATATTGTTGTAACATTTTTTTTTTCCTTATATATAATACAATTTCTTCAATTTAAAAGTTTCTTTTCAATTTTATAAATGGATATATTGGAACGCCTCGCATAAATTACTTCTCTGTGTTGCTTAGTATAAAATATAGGTTATTTTATATTATTAAAAAGCAAAGTTTTGTAGCTTTCGTAAATTTCAAATTAATCATTCACTTATTTCATGACGCTTCACGAAATGAAACATTCGAAAAAGAAATTAAAATTGCATGTTCCGCACACGTGACCATATCGAATCTACCGTACTTTGCTATAAAAAAAGTTTTCATGTCATAAGTAATCAACAATAAATGATTTAAATATCATATAGCATTATTTTCGATAAATATAATAGAAGAGTATACGGATGACCTATCGTACCGTTAGCCAACATTGACGTGTCTATACGATGATAGTTCTTTATCGACCAGTTACGTTATCCGAAAGCGACTTTCTCACGTTGTATTAAACGTGAATCTGACTTTTTTTTAGTCACCACTTACACAAACTACGTGGAATAAGATAGAAAAATCAGTTAATTCGCCCATACTGTGCATTTTTGGTCGCTTTGGGCGTCTTTGGCAATATGCCAGAAGTGCACACTACATTTTGCACTATGTACACTTGAAAATGTCCAAATGACAAAAACTGGAACAGGTCGAAGGAAAACGAAAGTATAAAACTCTTTTTAAAACTTGTACTAATGTGTTGGTGAGTTCACTGCACTCTCGGTTAGAAAAATTTATAGCTAAGTTAGTCTAGACTTTAGACTTTCTGGTCTAAATTGTTTCTCGTGTTTCTCTAAATTGATCATTTATAAATGTACTTTTTTATCTTCCTTTCTAAGGAACTTAATTCAGATTTATCTGTCATACGCGTTTCCATTCGGTTATCTTCGGGGAAGCGTTTATTTGGATATTTTAAACAATTTACTGGAGGACCATATCGATTCAAGATAACATTATGCCCCGACTCGATACAGATGAACAAATAATTGCATTATTGAGAATTTCAAATACCGTAACATCTCCAATTGTCGTGATCTACCACGATTGTAACTTTATATCTCTTGTTCGCTTGTTTGGTACAACGTCGGGAATTAAACTGGTTGTACTTTTGTAGTTATTACGTGCATTTAAACTTGAATAATTTATAGAATTAAATTGCTCGAATTGATTTAGAACAATCGTAAATCTTATTAAATTGAATGTTCGTTTTTTTTTTCTTCTTTATTTTACGCATTCAATCCTTATAACTAGATACTTATTGAACTGACTTCATTACATTTTCAAAGCCTTTTTATAAAGCCTCGATGTTTCTTTCTTTCTACATCAGGTAATCTGTAGTAGCTCTGGTACTCCCTTTTTTCTTTTCTCTGACAACGGAAAGGGGGGCAAGAAACAAGAAAATAAAGCGATTTAAAACAAGTTTCACAATGCGGATTATGGTATTGTAGATAAATTATTATTACGAATGCTTGAATTTAAGTTATTTTTTGTCGGTGAGATTAATAAGTTTTTTCTTACTTATTAATTATGATGAAATGAATAATGTAAATTAATATTTAAAACAGCTCAGAGAGTTAATTAATTAATGTTTGCGTAAATTAAATGTATTTTTTTAAAACATTGCTTTATTTTTGTAATGAAATTTTGACGTCGTTGCCGTTAGAATATTTCTATAAATTCTTTACACAAGTTGCACGTTTTACATCCCATGTATATGGGGTCGACGTTGACAGATGGAAAACTTATGGAATTGGTTCACGGACTAAATATTCTAATAGAAAAATTACAACAAAATGTGGTTTGTTTCACAAATACATTTAAATTACAATTTATATAACCGACATTATATAAATAACTTATTTAATATAGGCCTATAGATAAGCTTTATTACAAAATTTAATATATAATATAGATTTAATGCTATGATAATTAATTATCATTGTTAATTAATAACATATTCCATAAAATAATTTTTAAAATATTTATATTTATTTTGTATAACAAAATACTTCTTTTATCAATTTAATAACCTTAAAAAATGAATTTTGACATTATATTAACCTTGATATTTTAATTTCTTTCCTATAAAACTCATCAATCATTGTTTATAGCTTGGAGTTTAGTTTTATCATCGGCCAATGTCTTTTTATAGCTGTTAAACGGCTAGAGTTGTTTTTCTATGGTTATAATTATGTTGAAAATGTTTATATTATCTTTAGATAATTAAAGTGGGAAGATAGCTTTTCATTACTTGACCATTCTGAAGAAGAATCTTTATTACAATGTTTATAAATGTATTAGGCCTACTTAATACACGAGATCATCCGATAAAATTTTCGTGAATAAAAATCTATTAACATGTATAGAATAATTAGAAGTGTAAAGTGTAGAAGTTGTAGAAGTATAGAATTAATACTTACATATTTAAATCAGCTCGAAAGATTGTAATAGATAAAGTAAAACAACACAATTATAGACATTATTTCTGCAAATTACAGTTCTCAGAAATAGGATGGTGACGTAGTATAGAGGTTTTAGTACATTCGATTCGGATCTTTGTATTTTCATGGGCAATTCGAGCTGTCTTGATCTCCATTCTTCATTCATTAGTGGAGTAATGTGTAATGATAAAGCGCGTGATAGCATCCTAATGTTTCTCAAAAAATCTTATTTAATCCACATAATCTTACCTTATAAATTCATTTGAAAATTCTTTAAGATTACAATTTTAGATAACTTTAATATTAACTCGAAGTTTTAAGGCTTTATATTCTTGACAATTAGAGTAGTGAAATAGCTATCAGTAGCTATTTAAATAAGTAATTTAAAGAATCAAAATATAATTTTTGAGTTAAAATAATAATTTTGTCATTATCAAAAATTATTTTCTAATTTTATTACACGCACTTCGTTAATATTACGATGATAAAGGATTTGTATCTATTTGCACTTTGAATATTTCAAGACACGTAATTATGCAGTTTATTAAGGATTTGTACCACTCTCTTTTCATACTGCTCGAATTTTCTCTTTCAGATAACGATTTCGTTCTTCGCAATATATATATAAACTGAATATATTATACACAATTTCCGACAAAAATGTCAGTTTGTTAAGCAATAAATTGATCTTTCTAACTCGCTTTTCACTTTCTGTAGCATTGATATCGACAATGCAGAATCGTCATAAAATTACGAATATTTAAAATTTTATTACAGAAAATTTCAAAGTGTAATATATAAATTCATTATACTTATTTTACTATTTATGTATATTATAAATTTATTATATAAATTCAAACCTTATCTTAAATGCACTAAAATCTAAAACATCGTCTATTTCAATAAATGGATTAATAAATTATAAAGAGTTATATCAACGGAACAATGTAAATATTGACTACTCTCTCCCTCTCTCACTCAAAATAAATAACTGATATTACATTTTAACTTCAAATTTTCAGTATAAAATTTATTAAAATTGACTAATCTACACGTGGTATACGTTGTTTCTATACGAAAAACAGAGGAAATTGTTTACGTGTAGTTTGAATTGTAGAGTAAGTGATTTAATAGTATTATGTACAATGCCAAGGAAATGCCAAACATTAAAACGTGTAGTATTTCATGAAAAGCATACCATTTCGTCCGACAGATGGAGGAACATTCGCTTACTTTTTTAAATATTGAATTTTGATAATTTTGGTCTTGTTAACAGCGAAATTTGCAGTTACACTTTATAAATTAATTACAGCGTACATAAAAAGTAAATACAAAGGAGAATTAATAAGAAATTCTCTTAATATATTACTGAATAAATTGTTTATTATACAAAAAACTGTAATTTTTCTTACCAAACATTAAAAATCTCGGTAACATTCGACTGCTATAAATAACAATTCGTAAGAAAAATAAATTGTATTAAGCCATTATCGAACGAGTCGACTGCACCATTGTACACTACATTTTTATTTATTTCTCTTTTTAAAGTAGAATGATTTTATTTAAAATTTAATTCTTCCTTAAATTAAGAGATTATCATATTAAATATATTTTTATAAAATAAAATTTTTCAGAGTATATTGAATATTCAAGTATATAAAATTGTGATTTGATAATGATAGTGATTTAAAAAATAAGAGTGAGGACGTGCTGAGAATATTCAGTCGAATGATTATCTACACTTTCTTGTATTTTGAAAGATTTAATTACAGTAGCAAATGGAATGATTGCATTGTAAATTATTATGATAATTTAGCTGA